TATATATAAATACTTGTGGAACATTTATGAAAAATACAAAATCACTGCAGTGACTACGTAAGAGTGACTACGTAATGTGTTCATTTTCTTTCAATCTTTTCACATCTATTTCAATTTCCTCGTTATTTTCACTTTTAACACCCACATGCATGCTCATCTGCTTGTATAACAGTGAATAATTTCGTGATGACTTGACCGGCGACCTAACACACATTCTCTTACCAGAACATTGCCACTAGAAATTGAAATATATCTTTCTCTATGAATCTTTATATTTCGCTTTTTGTAATAGATTAATAGCATTTACATTTTGTTGAAAAATGCATACTTTTGATAACTGCAACTTATATAACTATTTATTATTAATTTATCTGATTATTATTAGTAATGTTTATTTATTTTAAAATATTGCAAATAAAAATGTATTATTACATTATTTTATATTTATACGAGAAATGGAGAACATTTTTTGTACTATATATGTTTAATAATTAATAAAATGTTGATTATATGTGTGATAGCGTTTGTCGGATAAGTTTTTTGGTTTTCACTGTCGATGCATTATTTGCTATCGATAAAGTACCTTCAGTTGGAAGTTAGATATTTACTGTAGAGATTGTTATATTCATGAATTTCTTGTTATTTCTAATTTCTATATTGTGCTATTTATGGTTTTCTAAAAATAAAAAACGTAAAATATTTTTAATTTTCAGTATCTCAAATACAATCAATATTTCTTTATAAACGGCAAGATTTAATAATACAAATGTAAAGAGTATATAATAATTTTTAAATACGTTTCAACATGTAATGTATTATCAATCTTGTGTTTTGCATATTATCGCAAGTTCCAGTAATTAACATAACAATAAGCTCCGTGATATTAATCGTTTATTAAATAAATGATCTATAATTTAAAATACTTGTATAATTTAATATTCCGCTTGAATATATGTCGCAATACGGAAAATATTTCGGTAGCAAATTATCAAGAGGCCTCAATACTTCGATACAAATATAGATATATCTTAAAATATATCGATATATCTTTATACGACACATATGAAAAATTATGATTTCCAAAACGCGGAGATATTATAATATTCTATTATAATTATTATAATTTCCTATGGTTTTAATCGTGTTCTTTCGAATTCGAAGGAGTTTTAATTATTAACAAAGTTAATTAATTCTTTCACATTCATATGATCGCCCGATGATAGACATATTGCCAGCTTTGTCGCAAAATATCATACGGAAAACGGTGATATCTCTTGCAATATTGGTTGGAGCGTAAAAATGTTAAGAGTTTCTTTTATATCTCGTGGGATATTACCCGGAATTCTAAATAAAAAGTCTGAATTGCGATTCCATCAATCGATTTCGTCTTCTTCCGCTTCCGCTTAATCTTCGCTCGAAGTAATCGGTGAATTCCCGACTTGTCGACTCAAAATATGATTCTCTGATGTGAAACGGGGTTCGATCGTGCAGATTTTTATATAAAAGCTATAATTGTAAAAGTTTCCACTTTTAGACTATAGTTTTTATATGGAATTATTAGTTATTAGTAGTTTTTCCAAAATTTATAAAATTATTTTATTAATCTGCTTATTATTATATGCATCGAATATAAAATTCAATGCGCGCGATAAATTTTTTGAATTAGTAATTATTTTGTATAATTATTTTGAGCGTTGCTACAATTTGGATCTTCTATTTGTATGTTACAGATCAACGTAGCGACCTTAACAATCTGAGAGGAGGAGGAGGCCTAGGAGATATTATAAAAAATTGATAATAAATTTTATTATTAGTAATATTATATGTATATTATAAAAATTTCAATCAACCACAATTTTGATCAATGACTTGACATTGTATTAGTTAGAACAAAGTTACATTAAGACGTACACAAACGTACACAAACGGTCGTTATGTATTACGACTCTCAACGAGTGTAAAATTACGCTCATGTACGGGTGAAATTTATTAACCGGCAATAGAAGAAGTTTTTCTTCTTCTTCAATCTCTGACAGAAATCGAAATATTTATTTTTGGCTAAAAGTAGCCAGATTAAATGGCCAGGATCAACGAAAGGTAGGTCCAATACTGGCCTGAAGAATGGTTTATCCAAGATAAATAAGTGACTATTATTGGTCAAAAGGTGTATATGAAAAAAAAATATCTATATTTTCGCGCTTCTATGTGCAATGGCACGTAATCTACGTAAAATAAACGCCTAAAACAAACGGGTAAAATAAATGAGTACGCATAAAATAAATAATAATATATAAAAAATTAATGAAAACGCGAAAAATGAACGGAAACAGAAAAACGCTACTAGAGCGTTCGTAAATTTAATCCTGATTAGGGCACATTTTCCAAAATCCCGAGGTTTTTGAAAATCCGAGAAAATTGCAGGTTTCTGCTGGCTTAACCAGCAAGTAGGGTGGTTAGGACTATTAAAGTTGCTAGGGCTATTAAGATTGGATTGCTTGAGCTGTAAGAATTGCTAGGGCTGTTAAGATTCTAGGACTGTTAGAATTTTTACTATTGTATATAATACTCTCTATAAGGCTTTTTATAAAATAACAAGGCTACAATTTAAGATTGCAAAATTAAAAATAATTTAAAAAAAAATTGTATACAGTCAAGAATGATGGATAATGCTACATATCACATTTTTGAATTTTTTTTTAAATATCCATATTCTATGTATTGTAAATTACATATAATGTGAATGTTTAATTAATTTTATTGTATTATAAATTATATTTTGTATTGTAAATTATATTATTAATTATGTTATATGTAAATTGTTATAAAAATTTTTACATAATGTGTGTTAAGTTTAAATGTAAATGCTGTCAGTATCAATAATTCCGGTAATAAATTAGAACATAATTTTTTAGATTTTTAAACATTTCTAGAGAATTTTTATTTGAATTGAGATATTTGTCATTCAACAATTTATGCAATGATCCTAAGAGCTATGCCGGCGGTAACTTAGTTACCGGTAGGGTCACAGAGAGATACCATAATTATACTTATTGTATTAATATTTTTGAATCAGATGGGAGGAAGCAAAAGAGACAATGATTGAGGGAATAAAGAAAAGGGAGCTTCAGTAGTTTAAACGTCATCGTTCTTTGATTATCTCGAACTCACTTGATTGTGACAAAAACACCTATGATAAGCCGTTTTTAAGAGTACCTCGTCGGTGATATTAGCAATTCTTAATTTTTTCGAGGAGGAAAGTTTTGATCGAAAGAAATACTTCAATATTCAATACATATCGCTTGGCGCAGTTTGTAAAATCCAAAGTATTTACCATGCGATATTAGTGATCTTGTTGAAAATATAAATGCATTATATCAATTTTATCTACAGATTATATTGTCTCACATTTCCTTCAAAACAAATATTTTCAATATTTATGTAAAATGTAATTTTTTTTTTTAAAGAATGATCGATATATAAACTCTTTATAAGAGAAACATAGTATAGAGACATCTCTCTTATATCAATATGTACTATTGGATTCCCGAAAGCTAGATGGATATTGGATATTAATATTGTATATATAATTACATTTTGCGCTAAAATTATAAATATATATAATACTGTGTGAAATATAGAAATTGAGATTTTTCTACAAACAATGTGTTTCATAAATAATTCTATCGCTATGAGTAATCATTTGTCACAAAGGTACAATAAAGTATGATTGTCGCCGTGTGACTGATTATCACAAAATGCAACCGAATATCTTTAAGAATGATATTGGTGTTGCATTATACTATAATTAATGAAGGTACTATCAATGTGAATAAATAAATAATTAATAAATATTCCGCTACATCTATAGAAATAAATACTATGCACTCTAGATATTCAAGTGTAAGACATGATAATAAATAATAACTTTAATAAATAATTTAGGAAACTTCTATGATAATGACTAAAGCAAATTCGTAATTTCTAATTTCGTAATAGTCGCTACGTGACCAACGATTATTGTCAATAGCATCAACGTTTATTGCATAGTCATGCGGATACTGACGTGCTTTTATAGCTCTAGTCGCGGCAGGTGTTAAGTCAACTTGCATCGGTCGTATATACTTTCCGATAGCTTGATGCCGTCTCTTCGTACGTCATCTCCGGATGAGAATGATCGCTGACTCGTTCTCTAATACTTGTTTTTCTTATCTCTAATAATTAAATACATGCCTCCAAGCATGTAGATAGTCTCGGTATTTAAGAAGTACGCCCCAGTCCCTGACGAGTCTTCTCGTGTCATCAACGGGGTTTCGCTCGATACTGCTCATGATGTTTCGTTCCACGCGTGTCGGTAGTCGTAAGAACGGCAGAGCGATAATGTGACTTTCAACTTCGCATAGCATCATCATCAAGTACGATTGAGTCGTTCTAAGAGCGTTTTGAATATGAGAGTCAGGCTCATCTTCGATCAGTTCCTCGAACGCCACGGCAAACTTCTGAAGATCCATGTGCAATTTCGGGAAATGGTTAACAATCTGCAATCAAAAAAATTATTACAAATTTATCGCTCTGCTTTAGACATATTTAAGTATCGCAAAAACCGTTTACTTAAAATCTGTCTGTTTTATAAAATAATAACGAAACTGTTAATATCAATTCTTAATACTTTGCTTTCTGTCTACGTTGGAAATTATTTTATTATATCAATATTTATAAATTTGATTATGTCATTTAAATAAGTTTGATTTAGTATTATTTTTAGCAACTTCAAAGAAAAAATTCGGGAAAGTTGAGGCTAATTAAATACTTAGATTTGGCAACTGGCTTTTATATTTTATATGTAACTTTTTTTTATTCAAGTATTTACCACATAACAATAATTTATGCAGTAATTTATTTAAAAAGATTTGTTGCATTGGCAAGAAACAAGGATTAACATAATTTAAAATTTTTTTATCTAGTGATTATTTTTTAAAACAGATAGATAATATGCAAAGATAAAATCCGCAAATAATCGCTAATCAAAGAATAATGACGCGATCGATAAAATCTAATTTCCGGTTGTATTATCAACTTTATTGCGTCTAATTCAAGCGTCTAAGATCACCGTGAACTGCAATTTTTGCAACAAGCGACAAAGACAAAATGCAACAGCGCGGATCAATGTTTTTGCAGTTCGGTGATCGGGGCGTGGCAGAGAGCGGAAAAGAGACTGTGCGCCCGGCATCTGGAGTACCCGCGGGTCGCGATATCAGTCTGCGTTATCAGCGTGCTCGTATCGAGGAGGCAGACAAGCGCGATTACGCAGCCGCGCGACCCGGCAAACATGAGTGCATATGTATGATCGCGCTGCGCGCGCACTGCACGAAAGACCGCGCTCGCTCCTGTTTGCCTGCTACTTTATAATAATTACCGTCTCATTAAAATTTGTTATTTAACGTTGCGTTAATCAATTGCAACCGGGTGGTCAGCGGGCCGGCCGGTTGAAAACGCGCGACGGTGGTCTGCAACATTGCTCTCTCTTTCCCGCGCACTCGCTATTTATCTTTTACTTGCACGCAATACAGCACTCTGCTCGGGCTGCTCTTTCATTTCTGCTACACGGTAACGACGGTTACGAACGATGAATATTAATGATCGCGAAGAAACTAACGACCTGAGATATAATGTTGCGAAAGTTGAACGAGGAAACGCGTGACGAGAACATCCAGAAGTGTAGCCGAAAATACAACAATGATAAATCTTAAAGAGGTTGACTAGAAATTAAGTCCAATTTAAAAAGGATGATCTACGCAATAATTTTCAAAGAGAATTCTGCGATTACAACGTTTCTTTAATTATAAAATAGATAATCACAATTCGTGCTATGTGTTGATGCTAAGAGTTCTTGATGATAATCGCTGTTCAAAATTCTTAATGATGGAAAATTTAAATCGCGATTCGAAACATGTACACTTTAAAAAAGCAACAATTTTTTCAGTGATCGCACTTACCGTTTGAGAATTAGCATCAGCCAATCTTCTGACAAGATTCGTGTCCTTTTTGCCGGGCACCCAGTTGGGTATGTATTGGTGATCGCGTATGCCGATTCTAACTCTCTCGTACAAGTATTCATAGTCTCGATTCAAGTAGTCATTCATTGTCAGCTGATGCTGCAATCTAAGAATCTCGAAGTTGGACTTTATGTCTTCCTCCAAATGCTCCGATGAAGTGATTTCCAGATCGGAATCTTCGCCGCATGGCATATGCCAAATTGGTACTGTCGACCTGGATATCCTTTTTGGAGCGGCAGAAGTGAGAGCGAAGATAGCTGAGACCAAGCAAACTTTTTTGATAAACATATTTATTATCGCGAATTTCTTGCGGTTAATCTTTGAAGATCAACGACGATCCCGATTCAATCGATTTGCAGAAAATGCGCGATAAAGCACTGAACAATGTTCTCGATTGATGTGAGATCGTGAACTGAGATTGTCAAACTCTCGTGCTTCCTTCTTATATATAAGATTGTGTAAACAATCAAACGTACGCACGCATGTTCGACGTCTCGTACGGAGAGACAGTGGGGTTGCGGTAAAGGTTTTGTCCGCAACTTTTTACTGTTTAGCCGGTGAAACCCCGAAAATTATAGGCGAGCTTTTTACGTTTAAACGGAGACAATTTTTTCAAACATTTTCAAATTATAATCCCGATACGCGATACGACTTTCGAACTTTCTAATGCGTAACAATGGGTATAGCAATCTTCGTACAATTTTCTTTTTTAATTAATAATAAAACAATTATCTTAAGTATACTTAATATACTTCGTATTTTTATCTTTTATTAAAATAAATTTGAAACAAAATTAGAATGTCATAATTCTTATACCTCATCTTGAACAATAGAGTAGTGTGTATTATTATATGAATATGTTTGTTTTAATCAATGTATTCGTCAGATATTCTGTACGTAGCTATCCAAATTTATTTTTAAAAATATTCAATTTATTGTTTAAAATTATGTTGTAAGTTAAAAATTTATAATTTATTATAATAATTACTGGAATATATATTTAAGTAAATAAATTAGGTTGTGTGAGCAGACAACGCTATTTTGGTGATTTTATGCATTCTACATAATGAGCAATTTATTAATGCAGTAGCCTCACAATTAAATTATAGTTGATACATTTAATTTTTACAAGCGCAAAGTGCAATGAAGAGAGATTACAACCTATTCACTCTTCGTGTACTCCTATTACAATATTTGATGCGTCTGGGAAATCTTCCTATAGATAATGAAGCTGTGCTATGATGTTGACCTGATCACTTTTACTTACAGAAAAATAATAATTTAATACAGCATATATGTATATATATATATTATTATATGATTTTAAAACTTTCGATAAAACAGTTACCTTAGAAATTCACAATAGATGCAATTGTCATTCTTATAATTACGGTTTTATTATCCTTAAAATAAAATACAGCTGAATATATCTTGAAATAAACGTGTTATAAAAATGAGGATAATTATATGTCACTATATGAAAACAGCAATAAAATTATATTGCAGTATTGTAATATTTATGGCTGTACACACACATAGAGTCTAAATATTAAATGGCAGTAAATATTTAATGGCAGTTATAAAAAAATTAGCGTTACTATACATATTACTTATTTAATCAACTACTTAAAATATTATTTAAATATCGCTTTATTGCGATAAAAGATAGAGAGAGAATCATATTTATCAAATTAATTAAATAATAATTCTTATTTATACACATTATTTTTTTTTTTTTTATTCATTATATGTATAGATAATGATCGAATGCTAAGAGAAACGGAGATCCTTCATATACTCCTGATACTTCCGGTCAAATATTCGCTTTTGCACATTCATGCAATACGAGCATTTTACAATATAGCTGAATTAAATTATTATATGAATTATTAAGGTATCTATGTCATTCAAACTTCAATTTGATACAAAACATTGGGGTTTATTCGACACGATTACATAAGTAAAAGAATGACAATAAATAGTATATGCAATGGTAACGTGGTGTACAATAAATAGAACAGAACGCTATATGTATAAGTATGCATATATAACTAAATAAATATGCTACGTATCTATATTGGATAAAATGCATAATGTATGTATATTTAAAGTACAAGTGCACGTCTACGAGTAATTTGAGTCGCGGCACGTCTGCATATGTAGTACAAAATTATGTGTAACGTTAAGATACTAACGTATTTAAGTATCATATATTTCAGTATAAAAAACATCGGATTTATACAAATATAAATATATTTTAATCTATCGTAAAGGATCTTGTCACGCACATGCTGGTGCTCAGGAAAAATCAAGTCATATGATTCTTTCTTAAAATTCCTAATAATCCTTTATTTTTTCGCATGCGTACGGTCAACGAATTAATTATAAAAGATAAAATTGTCATGTTCGCATGACAAGGCGAGATTCTACGGTAGACACACCGGAAAAGAGGAGAGAATCTCATCTACGTCTAAATATCGGTACGTATCAATACATGACACCGATATTTATATATATATATATATATAGCTGTAAGTGCATCTGAAACTCGCAATCGTATCGTGCGTATGAAAAAGCATATCAAAAGATCATTCTCAGGCACTCAGCTATCCGAAGACAACGAAAAATATGTTATGGAAATGCGTATTGGAAAGAGAGGAAAGTAAAAGAAAAAGGATAAGTTTACAGACACATTTCGCACGTTCGATCGGCCGTCTTGCGCATGATATTTATATCGATATGCTAACATAGATTATAAGGCTTACGATCAAAACGGTTTATTATACAGATACGAGGCTCCATTAAATCGACGAAATCTATGCGATATACATGCAGGTATCGATAGCATGTGAAAGGATCAACGACGAGTTTTTAGGCTGTTCATGAAATCTATTTATTCTAGCTTTACCTAGCATACTTAAGCGAATGGCGAGCTTAATATTGTTTAGCTGTGATATCCCGAGTGTACACGGACATACAGAGTTCCTACGTTTATACATAGGTGAATATACATATATATGTATATATATATATACATATATATGTATATTCACCTATGTATAAACGTAGGAACTCTGTATGTCCGTGTACACTCGGGATATCACAGCTAAACAATATTAAGCTCGCCATTCGCTTAAGTATGCTAGGTAAAGCTAGAATAAATAGATTTCATGAACAGCCTAAAAACTCGTCGTTGATCCTTTCACATGCTATCGATACCTGCATGTATATCGCATAGATTTCGTCGATTTAATGGAGCCTCGTATCTGTATAATAAACCGTTTTGATCGTAAGCCTTATAATCTATGTTAGCATATCGATATAAATATCATGCGCAAGACGGCCGATCGAACGTGCGAAATGTGTCTGTAAACTTATCCTTTTTCTTTTACTTTCCTCTCTTTCCAATACGCATTTCCATAACATATTTTTCGTTGTCTTCGGATAGCTGAGTGCCTGAGAATGATCTTTTGATATGCTTTTTCATACGCACGATACGATTGCGAGTTTCAGATGCACTTACAGCCGCGGCTGTAATTTATTGGATCGATATTTCATGAATCTAATCGATTTGAAAATATGCACCGGGTATTTCGAAACATTTTTATCAATGTTATCGGCCATGTCGGCATTCTGTATGTTATTAGATGTATATAATACTGTTCTAAAGTAGATCTCTTAATACTGTGGTCTCTAGTATGCCGTGTTATCGATAAAAAAAAACTTGTATTACCATAATCAAAACCTGATCCGCGATATTAGATACTGGAAAGATATTTATCAAATTAAATGAATGTTTTTCACGGCTGTTGAGATATCTAATCTTAATACAATATCAGGCACGGTTCTCTATTGACGAACTTACGAAAAATGTTAAACGAGTAAAACTATATATCTGAATGAATGATCGCGACGATGGAATAAATATCGAAGTTATGTTAGTATGATATAAGTATATGTTCGATACTGTAAGGCTGTAAAGAGCGATGTGTCTTTAAACGATCAGCAGATCTTATCGATATTAAATGGAAAAAAAAATATAAAAATGGCTCTAGGTATAAAAATAAAGACTTTAAGACGTTCCCTATCGCCTAAAATTCCCTTATTTTTAAACGCAAAGATTCCTTAAATTCGAAACATAATATATACTCGTTTGTACAGATTTCTTTTAATTATTCCAAATTGAATAGTTTTCTCCTCGATATTCGATTCGAGGAACTATTTCGACGCAAATTCTGCTTTTTTAACATTCTGCTTTTTTTCATTTTCAACAATTTTAAATGCCTTTTCTTAAGAATGCACCGCCTTTTAGGATTTTTGTCATGTGATCTAATTTTGCAAGTATCGGGTAACGTCGCATTTAAAATGTTGTTCATTCCTAATGTCCAATCATACACAAAATCGCCGTATATTTTCAACACCCCCCAGTCTTGAATCAACATTTGAGTTACGCCGCCCTCTTTAGACCAAAATTCAGGTGTTATTATCGTTGTATTGTGAGGAGGAGGAAGATCAATTTGCAAATTATACATAGCGGTCTCAACCTCGCACAGCATCTGCAATGATACAAACAAAGTGTTAATTTTACACGTTTGCACTTCTACTCGCAAAAGATCGATATTGCCTAACATTACTATATATTTTACAAAATTTGTAAAAAACTCAATATACATGATCGGAATAATAAAGTTTATATTTTATGCTTCTTAAGTAATTAATTTACGAGAAATTTTAACGCGCGACGAAAATGCAAATTTCAATTAATATAGAAGGTGTTGACATAAATCTTGTTAGAGTGAGTAATATACTACAGCTTTACCTGAAGAATCTGATTAAATGTTACATTCATCATCCAGTCCCGAATGTGTATAATGTCAGTGATTTCGACACTTGAGTTAAGATGAAATTTTTGAAGTTCATGAAACGTAATGGCGAATCTTTGAAGATTATCGTATAAATATGGAAGAAAACGTTGAGGTTTCTGCTCCTTTTCCAGACACAAAATTTTTTTACAATACCACGTGAGCTGCTCCTTGGGCAACCAATTAAATTTGTACTGCCGTCTTTGCATGCGTACAGTATTCTTGTATATCTTCTGTAAAAAAAATAAGATAATATTTAATCTCGTGGTTCTTAATTACATCACACCGGATATCTGTTAATGTAATCAATTTCTTTAAATTTATATAAACTCATATATAGGAATACATTTTATCGATTATTTACAATTGTGTCATAATTTATTTGTACTTGGTTTTATCGTAAAATATATAATTTATAACTTTGCACAGATTATATATTTTCGCGCAACTGTATCATATAAATGTAATCATGTCGTTATATTCCATAAATTCAATACATTACAATTGTTAAACATTTCTAAATTATTTAATGGATATCCGGTGTGTAACACAAATAATCCCTACTGATTCTAGAATTAATCCCGCGATATAGGATATGGTGAAATTTAAATATTTATACTGCTCGCTTAGTATAGCTAAGTCGCTAGCTCGCTTATACTGCTAGCTTGATTGCTCAATTAGCACTACTCGCTACACGTATCAGAAATCACGGTATCATAAATCTGTCTCGGAATGCATATTTTAGTATAAGCTTCAAAGTGATAAAAGTCGATAAACAAAATATATTGCTCTATATCCAAGCTGCAAATAAACTCATATATGCTCTCTAATAGACCAAACAATAATATCTATCATCTCATTAAAACGACATGTCATAAATAAATAAAGCCTCTTATATAAATGCATGCATTTCTATGAGGTTTATTAAAACGATTACAAATATATTTAATAATATTCACACAACACATACACATTTTTATCGAATGCGTTCGCGCGTCTTGTAACACGATGGTAGTAATTTGTCAACAAATATAAATGATGTCAGAAACACAGAGAGCGCGGGACTTTAGAAAAAGTAATTATACTGGATGTGCGTGGCACACCGTAACCAATGCAAATTGCCGACGGAAAGTAGGATTGTGCACGCCGGAGATGTTGCATTGTGAGCACGTGCGAGTCCCCCTCGAGCGACTGCCCACGCGGTTTTACCCCGACACCGCGCTGCAATTAATTGCGGAATCGCGGTCGCGAGCGAAGCGCTCCCTCGTGTCTTTCACCTGCGGATCTCTCACCTGCCTCTCCTTTTTGAAACATATGTGGGAGTAATTCGCGACTCGCGTCTTTAGTCGCACTTTCTTCAAGGATTGGTGCAGGTAGTGCCGTTGCGACTGATTGCGGCTCGTCGCGGCACTCGTGAGCACAGTACCACAGGGTTGTAACCAGGGTTCTGTAGTATTTCTCTCTACGGGGGGAGGTTGCTTGCAAACTAAACCTGAAACCGAGTTCAACTCCAAGTTCAGGATGAAGAGGAAAGTAACTATCCATGCCGCCGAATCTGTAATCGAAAATAGAAACTTTCGTCAAAGAAATGTTAAAAGATACAGTAAAGTTAAAATTACTGAAACTATCAGGTTGGTGAAAAAGATTTTTTTATTTTTTGACTTTAAAATCAACCTAATATTTCTCTTTTTTTCTCTCTTCCTCTGCTTGTGCGCTGTATATATATATTTTCATATAAAAATATTGCACACATGGTATTGTATTTATTTCAATTTAAAAACATTCAATTCTCAGAAGATGCATTTGCATAACTAAATTCATTATTGTTAGGTCAATAGATAAATAATTGTTAGCAAATTGAAATAATGGCATAATAGTTGCAATAAATATATAACTTGATATATATTACGGTATAATATTTTTATTTATCAAAGTTCACATATTCAATCGATTGTAAGATAATTCGTTAAAGCTAATAAAATTAACGGATCACGATTCAAGAAAGGTCGTGCGCTATTTTGCACGTAAGAGTAACAAATGTGAATGAAGAGAGGAGAGAGAAAGGGAGGAATGGAGATCCTTCCGACTTTCACACTCGGCATACCTATATGAATATACGTAGGTATCTATCATCGCACCTACGCGTCAATTTAACAGCGACCAATTGTCGCCCCCGCAATAGGAAATAGATTGCAAATCAAGATTTATTGTACAATTAAACGTCACAGCTCGCAACTTTTCTCATAATTCGATACGCTGCAAATTTACTCCAAAATGACTTTAAAAAATTTTTCCGCACGCAATTTGTAATACTTGCGTATTAATAACAATAGAAAACGATATGTGATAATGATAGATTAATTTTTTTATTTTTATTGACTCATGTTTCGTCATATATAGATATATATTTTTTTTTTTAATAACAGCGCTATGCATTGGTAGATAACTCCCTTTTATTGTTTCTTTCTCTCTATAAGTACATATTGAATAAAAAAATGTTCCGAACAAAATAAATGGACAGGATTTAATTATCGTTTTTATACGTATTATTTATTCTGAGTTCTTTTCATTTTTCATGCTTTGTTTATATTGATTATATATTGCGTTAGTTTGTTAGATTGATAAGTTTTTTGTACTGAAGATGGCCCGAAGAAGATTGAAACGTATATTTGCCTGCTTTTGCTTACATCAATTATAATTACATTAAAGAGTTTTTATCTTTCTCTTAGTTATTATAATTAAATTTCTTAAAAGTTTTGAAGACAAGAAAAGCTTTATTAAAAGAGTGAGAAGTTGAAAGAAGAGAAGAATTAATTTAAAATCTGTCACAAAAGAAGAGAATAGGAGCTCAAAGAAAAGAATATGATATTTTGTTTTCCCATGTGCAACCACGCGTGTTGTTAAGCTCCGAATGAAATCTGTATTGTATAATACTTAGCATCACGTAAACGCATCGTACTGAATCAATTTTCGATCAATGGCATTCAGCACCCGCGAAATCTAACATTAGTACTATAGTAACGCTGTAAAGACCGACAAAGATTTTATGGATCATTGTGTGGGCAATTAACGCGCGTTGATAGTTCGTGCGTGCCCGCAGAAAATCACGTGTAAATCCATTCGAAGTGACGATATGGGCGCTCTTTCAGGTGTGAGGCGTGATGGCAATTCGATACGATAGTTCGTACAATTCGCACGTCGGTCACGCGTGAACTAACGTGCGTGGCACAATCATCGCGCGGCGAAAGCGCACACGCGCTACGTGTTTGCGCGTGTGTACCACGTGTCTATTCTTAATAATTGACATTTCAACAATAGTTTTTGAGATAGCATCGCACAGCGATATTTTCTCATTTCCATCATTGAAAATAAAGAAAAGTAATAAAAATGATTAAAATAAGATATATTAAGCTTATATGAACTAGGATTTGACAAAGTATCTTATTGTTAGTATTTTTTTTCGAGAGACAAAACAAAAAAAATCTTTGTTTATATATATAATTGCAATTATATAATTTATTTTTTATTTTTGTGAATGGATTTAATTCAAGAATTAATTTTAGTATTTGCGAATATCTTACAGTGCTTAATTAGTGTAGCGAGAGTATTTAAATTCAATAATTTGATCATTTCGTTTTTACATGCGACGCGATATCAATTTGTGCGCGGAAGACAACAAGTTCCAATTCGATTAGCCCGTTAGCGTGAAATACTGTAGGAAGCAAGTTGTGTGGTTGTGTATCTTATCGTAAGCTCACGCCTTTTCTTCCGGAATCGCCCCAAGCAGTTTCAAGCATCCTGTATTGTCGGCTACGCACATCGCGTGGGCGTACGCTAAAGGTGCACCCAATATTATATACACTCCTAACGACCATCGCTCCCAACTATATCAATTTACGTTCTTATTTAGCAATTACCGATTTCCTGCGTGTATTATTTTGTATCTGAGAGGAGGTGGACAACTACAAAGCATCTTTCTGCCAAATTATTTGTTCTTGACAGGCTACGATTTAATTTTGCTTTAGCGTAGCATATCGATAGAATAGATAAGTATATTTTTAAGAAATAAATATCACAAATGAAATATAATTAATCAAAACTTAATCTAAAAATTATGACATACAATTGTTATGTTTAAGTGTTTCTGATCTTCGATATCTTGCTTAGTAAAAAGTAATAGTTGTGTAAAATTGTCTAAATAATCTCTTGGCATATATAAAATAGTTGGCAATAAATTTTAATTAATGTAAAATTAACGCATCATAAAAAGAAAGCTAAGCTTTGTAAGAAGTGCCATGAATTATTTTCTGGTATAACATCCCTATAATCGCGATCTACCTATGGACCACTAAATCGCACGCAATAACCACGTTATTCCTCTATAGGATTTCATCACGTGCAATTATTCGAGCAGGCGCCTCATCCTGTTTTTACTGTACACTCTCATTACACACGATAATATCGATTCAAAACACGTTTTGGAATAAAACGTCCATCATTCATACGGTGAAATTATCCCAAAATATACTTCTTTTCAACCATTCGCATTCCGGGCAGTGTCGTGTCGACATGGGGTAGTTGCCTCCGCGCATTTAATGCATGCTTTCCTCGTCCCTCGATAGGCTCCGCCAAGGTGGAATCGCGGCTATTCTCCGCGATGGATTCCCCGGATGCCAGTAGTCGGACGATCGGTCGGCCCTCCGGTGATTTGGCGAAAAGGGGGCGGGAAACGGGCGAGAGCGGTGCTCTTTTTTTCCGCGGCACACAGGACGAAGATTGTTGGTTTTGCAGCACCGGTACCGCGGTGGTGAATGCCCCAGGGCGGCAAAAGGCGGTTGCTGGCTTTCTGGGAACGGGTCGGAGTCCCGGCCGTACCGGGAGCGATGATTGCGTGGTGATTAGCCTCCACCTTCGCCTCTTTGGACCGACGAACGGAGGACGGTACAGAGGAAAGGAGCGTGAAAGAGAGCGCGCAGGTAAGGGAGAGAGCATACTGCACGGGCGGAAAGAGACGCGAGTGAGGTATCGGGAGATATATAGCACAGTATTCATCGTCGCTGGGACGAGTGTGGGAGCGAGGTGCCCGATACGAGCCATTCGGGCTGGCTTCGCGGATTCCGTATCGCGGAGAGCGAGAGCGACGACGTGCGTTGAAAAGTGTACGGAGATAAGTATGTGATGAGAGAAGGATAAAGAGAATAGAAAATCGCAATATGCGCTTGTCATTGCATATATGTTACGGATAAGCGTATCATTTTGCGGGAAGATCAAAATAATTTTTGAATAATGCATTTTCAATAATTTTCATTGATTACGTCCACGTGGGGCGCATGAAATATTGAAGTAAATACTAGTGAAAAAAATGTTTGAAGAAATTTTATATTGTTGATACAACTCCTATTTATATGAGTTATATGAGAAACTAGATTAGAAATGATAAACTGTAAAAGAGAAATTATTAGCGATGACGCATCTTGATAGATATCTTAGAGACACCGTACGTGCAAAGCGTCATGCGAATGTCATACATCTTTATCGTGAAAAACGCGCGTCTTTCGTTATCGCAACGTCATTCATAGAGGTATGTGGGACGCGTACTCGCGTCTTTTTCTACATTTCTCCTCCGAGTACTACACGCTTATGTACATACGCGTAAGTAATGTTTATATGCCGAAAGAATCACCACACTCCACAATTGAGTCTATAGCGAGAATATCGCACGACGGGTGAACGCACGGCGAGTACCATAGAAAAGACAGATTATACGTAGCTCGCAACATTTGATACGGTATGCGCATCGGGGATCGTTGGGAGAAGTCTACAGAGGCGTCGGGTTTCTCCCTCGCTCGAGTTCTGAATCGAGCGATGATTAAAAAGTCAACGAGAGAAATAAGAAACGATCCGAACAGCAAAGGAAGCGAGATTGAGCTATAATGTGTGCTATTGATTGCAGCACGTGATAAACACGTGCTAATTATGCAAATTACGTTAATTATTAGATTCAATAATAAACATGTAAAAGTAATTGACGCGAGGAGAAATGGCATCTGGTGTCATTTTCGTAGACGAATATTATGAAACTAAATGAATAAAAATGCTATTGAATCATTTGTGACATGACTCTCTGACGCATTGTCTTCAAAACTTTTAATATCCGCTTAGACCGGTTTTTCTCTCCGCGATGGTTACCGCAGCTTCCCGGGTATATATTCAGCTTTCGTTGAATATGAATCAGGCAGGGTGCGTCAGTGCGACGAACACGTTCACCAGACGGACAATATCCCCCGGACTTTCTTCCTGTGCCGGCCGCACAATCATTTCTGCGGACGACTTTGATTTACGAGGTACGCGGGAAAACTCGAGACTAGAGCCCGCGCGAGAGAGTTGGCAGTCTCCGCCAATGGGTCCCGACCTCACGGATGCAGCGAGCAGATTAGCGGGCCGCGCGCAGATTTGCATTTTGTCTGGCCGGACTACCACGCACATCGGGGGGATAGTCGGAGGAGGGCGACCCCGTCCATCCATAAAATGCCGCTCTGAGGGGTTTTAAGTTGC